AGCTATAAATTACGTAGGATAAACATTGACTTATATTACATTCACTGTCTATTGATCAATAATTTCGATCTGGTATTACGCTAGCGCTCTGTGAGCGACTACCGCATGAACAGTGCCGAACTACTTGATCTATTATGACGCTGTGAAGCTACCAATCAGGAGTCAACGTTGATGAACAATAAGGATACAATGATGACTACACTCTTTCGTTCTGAGTTTACTGACTATCTCTGGTTTATGGAACACTATCTGGTCGAATCATTTTCGTCATCATTCTAAGTGAAAAGCGAGTTCATTTCGGTCTACATGTAATGACAATGTCCTTTAATCATTTCGGTGGCATGAATCCAGCTCGACGTCGACAACATCTTGTTGAAAGCTTACCAGAGAGGAAACTGAACGGCTGTAGACGGTTGATATGGTCGACTGGGTCAGCCGTCCAGTATTATCCGACGTTTGACATATCAAGAAAATGAGAGAAGATGTAGGCGCTTTTACTGTGGAGGATAATCCAAAGCCCATCGTGGTCCATATAGACTTGCATTAAACTTTTTCGAATCATTGTCATGTTTGATAAATGAGAGTGAAATACTAGCATCTGCGCTTAGCCATGCAATGACCATCGACGACATGCCATACATGTTGTGCCATGTTGACCCAAAATCATCTTTCAATCGATTAGTCCGACAAAGAGCATTAGCCATGACCACATAGGTACTCGATAGACGGATTATATCGTCACACATGGCAGACATTACAGATCCATATGAGAAGTCTTCTGTATGGCTCAATCCATGAGATTTCAGTGGACTTTGGTATTTGCCTCCAAATATCTGAAAAAATCCAGTCGCACTTATAAATGAATCAGACAAGTTTCAATGGCAAATAACTATATCAAGGATACGTTTGTGTTGTCATTCTTTTACTTTTTGAGACAATCAAATTAAAAAAGCAATTTTGCATGAGTATTAACTATGTCTAATGATAAATAAACTAAATTAGGATATAGATAAGACTGTGAAAGATTGTGTCCTATTCAATCACTTATTTGCTCACCCACACACGCACAGCTTTAGAAGGCTTTTTATCATCATTTTTTCATGGTGTTCGGATGCCTCTAGCTAGATTAGTGCGTCTTATCAGACGTCTCTATTTAAGAAAGAAATAAGACAGCTGCATTGAAAATGTCAGTTGGTCGTTTTTCTCATTATTTGATCCAAGTAAATCTGAATATATTTCATTTAAAAACATCGAATATGATCGTACGATGGTCTACTCTAGTATTTCTACTAGCAAGAGTATCTACCATTACCTTTCCGCCGCTTAACTTGTATATTGGAACGGTTAGTTTTGATTATGAAGCAGGTAGTTTACCTCTTGGTGCACTTCGTCTCAATGCCGCTACAAGTGGTGCATTCGATATCCCAATTAGATTTCAGCATTATGCTGGTTATCAATATACGGATATGCATACATTCAATGAAGCTGTAATCAAATTCAACACTGCGATTGTTCATTCACTGTCGAATCCGACTACATGGAATTAGTCGCAGGGTATCTATTTAGGTTTTGACGATCAAATACATACTAAGCCTGATAATATGCAACATATCTATAAAGATCGATTCATATGGATTGCTCACCGAACATAAATTCCTTTCTTTATTCTTTTTCATGATTCACAACGAGCCAATGATATTATTCGTTCGGTTATGCTCCTTGTTGCGCAATGTGGTGATTTACCAAAATGGCCGTTCGTCAAGGAATACACAAATAGTATGATTGGTTCATATGCTGATATTTTATTGAGGGATTTAATCATAAAATATGAACATGATATTCATCTCAATACGATTCAAGTTGTCAAAGCCTTAAGAAAAGTAGCCAATCAAGTACAAGCACATGATAGTTGTTTTGATCCACCTACATATATAAAATATCAATACGTGCCATATGAAATGGATCATCGTTCGGCATCACTTACAGTTAGCTATGCCTATGATGACTGGACGATCAGTAATGTCATGTATGCTGCAGGTCTTATCGATGAAGCACAAGAATATCATAATCGATCACGACGGTTTGAACATGCATTCGATAATAAAACAAAATTTTTCTGTGCTTGAAAAGCCGTCGACAAATTTTTTTGTCCATCAAATGAAATCAAACGACTTAATCCATTCGATAATCGTTATGTTGAAGATGATGTATGGCATTATCGATTTTTTATACCACATAGTACGCCACGTCTTATTAAATTACTTGGTGGTACGAAAACATTTGTTCAAGAACTTGGTACTTTTTTGTGCGTAGTCAAATATGGTCATCGACAATATTACCAAATCCTTATTATTGACCAGTGAATGAACATGATTTATTTTCTGTTTGACAACTTCACTATGCCAATTGAACTGATCTTACTTAAAAACACTAACATTGGATACTTGATCACCTTTATACGATAAAACCTGATGGATTGCTTGGCAACGATGATTATGAATGGGATCGCCATCAATTCAATTTGACCTTTTTATGTCATTGGCATCGTCATAAATCGGACAACTGTCTGTATCAACCTATCGTCAAAAAGACATTGCTTATATACAGGCATCACGACTAGATGCGTTTATTGAATGCGAACTTCATTCTAATCTACACGAAACATACTCCATTAAAGGTGAGAGCGAATGAAGGAAAAATTTTCATTCCATCCACTCATTATTTGTCACATATAAAAATGCAATTTTCAACGATTACATACAAATAAAACAATCTGAAGAAAAGTAAATGTCCTCCATTGTGCTATTACTGATGCTCGCAAGCACAGTGAGAGCCAAGGGTAAGTGACGAGAGGACTCACATCCATGCCCTCAAGAGGATAATTCCTTTTTCTTTTTAGTGATTGGTAGCGAGTGTGTTCGTCCCGCGAAGATCTATTTCCGACTCTGCTTTATTTTCTTGTTGGTTCACTTTCAAACTAGTTACGTACTGTAGACATTGAAAGATTCTAAGAGACTGAAAGCGCTGTTTTTTATTTAGTCACCATGAAGAAGATTTGAAACTGTCTGCACAGATGTCTCTTCTGGTCATGTTCAATATCAATATTCATCATCGTTGTTATCGGCATATACATTTCACGGTGAACTTTGATTCCAACAGGTCCAAGTATACCGAACAGTTCCTTTTTTATCTGAATGCTTACGGTAAGATGTCCTCATGTCATTTGAAGCAAATACGATACGTGCGATTGGTATTTAAACGCATATAATTCACATGTTTCTGTCTTTTCATCTCAACAACTCTAATAGTAGTTTTGTGAAAAACTTTGAGTAATAATACTGCTATATTTGACAGTAGTCTACAGCTTTTCATTCTACGTCTGTAGGTCTTGAGATGCACAAACCAGCCATTATGACAGTCTACCTAAGCGAATTTCACTAGGAATAAGCTTCTCTAATACGAGCAACAAGAGTTCTATTAGTGATGGAAAGAACAAGAAGAAAAAGATATTATGTATATTACATCATGACAAACAATTAATAGGCACACATATAAAGGAAATGAATGTTAACAGCTAGTAACATCAACTCATGTCAATAGGGAGCACCTCAGGAAAGTGAGCCTTTTTGACCAATCCTCTGATCCATTCTCTTTCGAAAATATTCTCACACTTTATTGCACTTATGCATACATACATGCTCCTGTTCTCATGGACGAATTTCTGTTGTCCTTGATTTTGAAAAACATTCACCGTTTTTCTTTTGCTAGAAAGTAGATCTATATTTAAATCTTTATTCAACAAATTTTTTTTACTGCTTCATTCAGAAGGAAATAAAACTACTTGTAATCTTCATTTCTTTATACTCTGTTTATAATTAAAACTAAATAAGTGAAAAGCAACGAGAGTAGCTTCCATTTCGGTTGTCATGACTGAATAGAGAATGGAGATGAAATAAAATAAAATAATTGAAGAATCAATGTTCGATTAAAAAAACATTCCATTCTTCAAGAGTTAACGTATTAAACCTCAACTTTCGAATTGGTAAGAAAACGTACTATTGTCCAACCGCTGATCATCTACAGAAAATATTCGAAGTTCGAATAAGAATATTTTAACAACCCCATTGGTTATATAATAGCTTTGAAATATTGCTGTGATATTTCTTTCTTCAGTTCTACTTTGTTTATTTCTACATTATTTGTTTTAGTTTTCTCATTCATTTGGGTGAACCGGCTCTTTCTTTGTAGTTTTTCATTTTTATTCATACATTGCTTAGCAAATATTTTTGGAAGCTTATTGTTTTTTTTTCGTATAGTCAGTTACCATCTTTTAACAAATAACTTGTATCAAATTGAAAATTCTTTTAAATTTAAAATTTGATGTGTGTTCTTACAGATTGAAATCAAACAAATCATTGCTTTGTTAAAAGGTGATATCAAGATTGAATTCTGATAAGGATTCATCTGTTGTAAAAACACGTCGAAATATTAACGAAAATAAAGTCGTAGAAAGCGCAAATTTTTAGGCTTTCATGACATGTTTCTATATTTGTTTTTAACTTTTTGTCTCAGTGCGTGGCAGCATCTAAGAGATTGCTTGGTTCTACTTTGACTTACATATTCTTGAATTTTGCTAGTGACTATTTGATGTCGCTCAGAAAATTGCGTAGTTTAGAATTTTATTGTGGATGTTACGAGTTTATCAGTATTTTGTTCTTTGTAGATATGTCTGAGAAAACTTCTACTCAATCGTCTAAAGTCGTAGCTATTGTTGGTGCTGGGCTTGTAAGTGATTGCTACTATCGACTTCTTCATTGACACTAAACTCTCTACCGTAGGGTGGATCTCTCTGTGCTTGTTTCTTTGCCAAACATGGTATTCAAGTTCATCTCTTCGAATTACGTCCAGGTTCGATTATTATTTCATGCTGTTGAATCAATCTCAGATCTCTTCATATAGATATTCGGACACAAAAAGTGGTCAAGGGTCGTAGTATCAATATGGCACTTTCCCGTAGAGGTCGTGATGCTCTCGCCTATGTAGGTTGTGAAACAACCATTGTCAACAGTGGCATAGCAATGCGTGCTCGAATGATACACGAGCTGAACTGTACCAAACATCCTATCCCTTATGGTACTCGCGCAGATCACGTAAGTGACTAAACTTGAGTATGAAGAGCTTCTCACTCGTGGTTTTAATCAGGAAATCTTGTCGATTGATCGTCGTACTCTCAACGAACTGCTATTAAATGGTAGGCCAGCAATACTCTATCGAAATTTTTATTAGATTTGTTTACTACTCTTGCAGAAGCTAGTAAACGATCGAATATTACTATTCATTTTCAGCACAAGTTTATCGGTTGGGATGAGGACCAGAAGATCGCTAGTTTTCACGAGTACGTCTAGAATAGTCAAGGCGATTTTTTTTCCTGTCAATTTATTATTTTTTTTTCATTTAAGTGCATCAGGCAATCGAGTTGACTTTCGTGTCGATGTCGTGATCGGCTACGATGGGTAAGTATCGAACTCAGTCGATGGCTAATGGACACTGAGTCTTTAATCGTCAATTAGGTGTCATTCAGCCGTACGAACAGCAATGATGAAAATTGATGCAATTAATGTCGCTCAAGAATATTTTGAAACCTATTACATGGAATTTTGTATTCCACCTAAAAATGATCAGGTACTCCAAGAGAAAGCATACATGGAATCGAAGAATATTTTGCTTATTTAGTTTGTTATGGAACCCAATTATCTTCATATTTGGCCACGCCATCAATTTATGCTCATCGCTCTACCGAATCAAGACAAATCTTTCACGACAACACTCTTCTCACCAATTTCGATCTTTCGAACATTGGAAACGGCCGATGATGTCTTGACGTTTTTTCGTCAATACTTTCCAGATGCAGTATCATTCATTGGCGCGAACGAGATCATCGAGACATATTTCTCATCGAAGCCTCAACCATTGATCTCCACCAAATGTGAACCGCATACAACATACAATGGTGATATGCTTCTCATGGGTGATGCTGCTCATTCAATGGCACCCTTTTATGCTCAAGGCATGAATTCAGCATTCGAAGATTGTCTTGTTCTCTTTGACAAATTAAAAGAGAATAATTTCGATTTTCCAAAAGCATTTTCTGCTTACAAGTAAGTTTCCACGAACATTAACAATCTACTCTGAAATCTCTTATCTCTCTCTAGTGACACTCGAGTACGCGATACACATGCGATAGTTGATTTGTCCAGATACAATCATCGCGAAATGACACATCATGTCACATTACGTTCCTACCATTGGCGCAAGAAAATCGATAATGCTCTATATAAATTGTTTCCTCGTTGGTGGGTCCCTTTGTATACCATGGTAACATTCACACGAATTCCCTATCATCAATGTATGGAACTACGCAAACGACAAGATCGTATCTTGCAAATTGTCCGTGGTATTGGCTATTCGATCGTTGGCATCTTACTATTCAAGCGATTTGTCTGGGCTAATGTCAAACCATTTATCATGCAATTCTTTTCGAATAAAGTTTTGCCAAAACTCACAAGTCATAAAGCAAATTAACTCCTCTGATAATATTTTTGACTCTATTAACGCTAATTTCTTTACGAATTAATGGAACTTCTTGCTATTTGAAACAGTATACTTATGACAATGATTTTGTAGAAGGGAGAAATATTAGATTTACATCAATCAAAAATCACTTAAAATCACTACAAGTCATCAAAGAACAAAGATCTTTGTGCAAGAGACTCTATCTAGAACGCTGATAAGTAGAATTCACGTCTAAAGAACAAAAGACATGTGTATAAGACAAAAACTTTTCAAATCATTCTAACAACCTTAAATCAAATTAAGACATATGCTAATAAATATTTTTGTGACGACAAAGTCAAGTCTGGATTCTTTTCAGGTTCAGCTGAATGAAGTTTCCGTTGATTTTTCATCATTTCGATTGAGTTGATAGTGGTGACAGGGTTTCATGTAGTTCTCATGCAGGAAGTAGAATCTATTGTTTACAGTTGTAAATCAATGATAGTCGAAAATTGATCATGACAAATTTTTCTAGTAGCTGTTTCAATTTAGGAATGGTCGAACTTGTATCGTTCCAATGTCATAACACAAGAAAATTCATAAGTCATACATAATAAGAAATCGATCAATTTTATATCGAACAACTGCTAGGTCTTATATTCAATTCTCACTATAATGTTTCCATTCCATTAAAACATGTTTCATCCGACTTATTTTATTGAAGTAGCTCACTGTATCTAAATATTAAAAATAAAGAGAGTGTGAGCGTGAGATGCTTTGTAAATCATAATTATTACTGATTCCTAGTACTACATACGAAATCTCATTAGTTACAGTAATCTATTAATATCCTAATCAGAGTCTCATTTTACCCCCTTTGACATTTTTGTTAGCAAAATGTCGGTCGAGCGTGTTTTGTGCAGCATTAACGAAAGGTCTTGATATTTTACCAAATGATAGAAGTTAAAAAGTTCTGTGATCTGATACATTTACTAGTTTCAGTCGAAAAGAGTGTGATAAAGAGAGGACATAACCTACAACTCAAGCCACATATATCCACACACTATTTCTGGTTAATGCACTAAAACTCCTATTTGCTGATTGTTATAATTGTAACATATATCTCAGAGACAGCAATGATATAACGATTATTATACAATCCAAAATCAAAATATTAAACGAAAGTTGAAACTTTTTGACTTAATAAAGTTTCATGAATAAGTTTTGAATAGGCACAGCGAGATCAAAACAATAATATAGGATTTTACAAAATAGCACAAAGTTTAGTATTGATAAATATTTAAAATGAAGGAAGACGAAAAACACAGAAAACAACCTTTGATGACTCACACACTTGTTAAAAAGTCTATATTTGATTTTACGATAAAATTACTTATTTCAAGAGAAGCTTGGAATCCTTTAATTAGTCTTTTATACTAATTGATTTATTCTACATTCTATAAGAAATATCAATACATTCCAAAGAAAAAAGTCATTGGTATGTTAAAGACATGACGATATTTGTTAATTATAATTTGTACATAAGATAAATTAAGGCGGGTACTTTATTTTTCTATTAATGTTTACTATCGTTTAATATTTGAAATATGTTTCAACTTCTGTCTAAAATTATTCTTTCTCTATTTACTAATTGTTACTTATTTTGTCAGTCAATACCTATCCTATATCGAACAGATCTGTTCAAGTTAAATCATTCGAGTAAACATTTTCAAAAGAAGACAAATTTATTGATCTATAATAATGTTAATGATAATCTGGAAGAAGAAACGACGGATATTACTATTATATCCGTTGGCAAACAAAATAACATAATTAAATTAATAACGAAATTATTAATTATGTTCTTAATCATGGGAGGATTTATTGTACTTATCATAATTATTATGGTTTTGATCTTCGTTTATATTAATTGTAGTCGTCCATTACGAATACATAAACAAATTTCAATTGAATATCTTGATTCTAATGAAATGATTAATTATTTCGATGATATATCAACATAATCTATATTGGAACGTTCTGATATTGAAAATATTTAAATATTTTTAGAAATAATTGTTAGAGAAAAATGTAAAATTAGCAATAATAACTAGATTAATATAATGGGTGTCCTTCCTATATAGAATATTTATTTATTCTTTTCTATCAATTAAAAAAAAAAAAGTGCACTGAATTTTTCTAAGAACTATCTTTATCATCATTTAAATCGAACACATCATGCACACTCTCTTTCGCATTCTCATAATATTGTTTAATTTTTTTCATAGGTGAGGAAGTAAAATCATTATCTTTTGTGTCTGTGTCATCACTTGAACTATCTTCACTGTCATTGTCACTATCACTATCACTCGAACTTGATTCACTATCTTCTTCATCGGGTATTGTATTATTATTAAGATTTGGCGGCGACAATGTTGTTGTTGCTGTAGTTGTTGTCGTTGTTTGTAAGTCTTCATTTGCTTCATTGATTTCTTCTGTAGTTTCTTCAGAAAACGTTGGTTTGGTTGATAATAATGTTGCTGCTTCTTCTTGGATTATTTCTGAAATAGAATGAAGAGGTGCATGAGTAGTTGTTGAAACAATATGTGGTTCAGGAGAAGAATTTATTTCAGGAATTTCAACATTTGGAACGGATGTTGTAATAATTGGTGGAGAATTTGTAATTGTTATTGGAATAGATGATGTGGTTGTGGTAATAGGTGGAGAATTTGTTGTAGGACGTTTATGTTTAATTTTAACTTGTTGACCAAGAATTTGAAATCGTTTTTTATTTTTTTGTCTTTGTGAATCAACACCAATTATTTTTTTAATTGGTTGTTCTTCCTCATCATAATGTTTTATTTCTTCATTATTTTGATATCGCACAGATGAATGTAATCGTTGACGTATTTGTTTTTTCTGTGGTTTTTCAATAAGTTTAGGTTGTGTTTTCGGTAAAGATTTGACTGTTTCTGTAAGAATTTCATTTGAATTATCAGATTTAATTGAACGAGAAGGTATAGCTTGTTTAGGTGAACGTTTTTCTTTTTTTATTCGTGATTTTTTTTTTGAAATTTCTTTAGGTAATTCTGATGATGGTGGTATAGTTGTGGTAGTGGTGATAGTTGTTGTCGTTGTTGTTGATACATTTTCAATATCTTCATTATCATTCTCATTACAAAATGAAAATGTAATAGGTAATGGTAAAAGACATATAGATTTTTGTCCTGTTGGTAAAAGACCATATAAAACATAACTTGATGCACGACGAAAATATTCCATAAATGGTGTTTCTTCAATATCTTCGATATTAAGAATTTTTTCAATAGATTCTTCAACTTTTTCAATAATTTTTTCTTTTTTATGTTTTGATGATTTTTTTGATTCTGGTAATTGTTTATCTTTTTTACTACGTTTACCAGCTTGAGTTTCACGAGTAGCATTTTTTATTGCATCAAGTTTACGTCGAATACGATACCTAAAAAAAAAAACAATGAAATTTTAAGAAAATGAAAAAAACCAAAACATTTTTTAACAAACCGATATTTCCATCCAACACTTCGATCTTCTGGTGTTAATTTAGCTAATGTCGGATCAAGTCTTTCATGTATTGGTATATGTTCATCTGATTTTTTCTTTGATTTTACTAAAGCTTCAGCTGCTTCACGTTTTTGTGCTTCTTTCATTTTCGAAACACGATAACGATATTGCCATCCAACAATTTTTTTTGGAATTTCAATTTGTTTTTCATCTGATACATCTTTTGTACTTGTTGACGTCTTAATTAGTTTTTTATCTTGTTTAATACTAAGTGTTTCCAAATCGAATGGAATACCAGTTTCTAATTTATTTAAAAAATAAAAATAAAAATATTATTTCTTTCTTAAAATTTACCTGCTTGTTGTTTTTTTAATTCATCAAGTTTACGACGAATACGATATCGATATGCCCATCCAACATGTCGACCTTCTTCATTTATTTTACGTAATTCAGGATCAAGATGATCATATTCCCATTCAATACATTCATCTTCATCTTCAGTAGGTTTAATAAGACCTTGTTGTTTACGTTTTTGTTCAAGACGTGCTTTACGTTTTTCTTCTTCATCATTAATATATTCACCACGTCTTTTAGCTTCAAGCATTTTACTTATACGATATCGATAACGCCAACCAACAGTAGGTTTATTTTCCTATAGAAAAGAGCAAATAAAAACAAAAACTAATTCATAAAAAAGAAAAAACAAGTTTTTGTTTTTTGTTTTACTTCGACGGGTGGTGGTGTTTCTTTTTTTTCTGATTCAAATGGTTTATCTAGAACACGTTTACGTCTTCCACTTAATTCTTGTGGTGTTTTACGTTTAATTGCTTCTAGACCTAATTTTAAACGTTCTTGATCTTCACGAATATTTTCACGTAAAGTATCAATATAACGTGATACACGATAACGAAATTGCCAACCAACACGAGGTTTAAATAAACCACGATCATATGAACGAACAATTTCAACTGGATCAGTTATTTCTTCATATGATTTCATTCGACGACGTTTTTTTACTTTATCAACATCATTGTCATTATTATTATCATCATCATCATTTCCTTCTTCATTATCGTTGACTTTTTTTGCAGTAAATAATTGACGTTTAGGAACAAATTTTTGTGTAATCGATACAGAATTGACAATATCTTGATTAAAGCTAAAGAATACATTATGATTTAAGCTTTTGTTATTTTATTAAAACAAAAACTATTCTTCTATTCTGTTAGACAAAATTATAATTAGTCTTAAGTTTAAATGCTTCTCCTTGTTTTCCTTATCAGATTTATGCCTGGAATAACACTGTATACATTATATTGTATTAGGTCTACTTCGACTTCCATCTAATGACAGTTGCTAAATGATAAGAATATTGACACTTAACAGATCTAATCTAAAACTTTTCTTACTATATTAGGAACTATTAATTTGCAATTCCTACGCAAACTATGGTTTCTAGGACCTTCCCCTTCTGTATAATTAACCAGAGATAAGACAAAAAAATAATAATAAATATTAAAATCTTCATAAAAGGAAGATTGATAACTCATATATTGATAATAGAATTCATCTAATTTGAAATGAATGAAATAATCAACAAGAAAAATAATATTTTGTCACATAAACAGATGATCTTGTCAATAGACAGTTGACTTGACATTACGAATAAAAATCTAGAATATTAGGCTTGCAGCAATGAGATTATTTCTAGAGAAAAAAAAACTAACGACTGTATATGTCATATAACGTAACGTTAAAAAGAAGGAGAGTCGTAAGCCTATATATATTTGATGATTTACAAAGATAAAGAAAAACATCAACTTAGCGTTTTCCCAAACGGACATCATCTATAGTTATCATAATAAATGATATTAACTGTAAAAATACAGTTATGTACGAATGTACATAGATATTTATTTGTAGTTTTTATGTTGATATTTGATCTAATTAATTTCGATTTATATCTTAATGTTTTTTTTTTCCAAAAAAAAAGAAGAATTTAAATTATTAATAAGACTTACATATCATTATTATTATCATTCGAATTTGATTCATCATTAGTATTGAATTCAAGAAGTTTACGTTTAGAAATTTTTGTATGAGTTGAAGAACTTATCTTCTTTTTATTAATTGGTTGTGTTTGAAGTTTTCCTCCTCCTGTTGTTGTAGTTTTTTTAGCTTGACCACCAGTACGTTTCATTTTTTGATCAGTTAAATAACGTGATATACGATAACGATAAGCCCAACCAACTTTTGGTTTATTTGAAATAGAATTTTTTTGTTTTGTTTTTGTTAAAGTTGTATCTGTTGGTATCGTACGTTTAGATTTTTTAACAGATAATAATTGTCGTTTTGATATACTCATAGATGAGAATGATAAATCGTTGTTTGATATAATATAAGATTCTTTATCATTTAATTCATTAAAATAAAGATTAAATTCATAATCATCTATAGAATTTATATTTAAAGATAATATTTCATCATTAATAGAAAGTAATTTTCGTGCTTGACGATGTTGTTCTTCATTTACTGAAGAAAGAATTTGATCGTCTTCATTTGTATAATTATTATCGAGTATATCATCAGATAATTGAAACATATTTCGAACAAAATGATAAGCTCGATCGACAACTGAATTATTTTTTTCTTGATTATCAATATTAATTGGTTCATTGACTTCTAATGTTTCTGTTGGTTCTTCGATTATGGGCGGTGGTGGTGGTGGTGATGGCGGTTTTTCACGTTTTGATTTTGTAAGAGGTGGTGGAGATGTTGATGAAGGAGGAGGAGGAGGAGGAGGAGGAGCTGGAATTGAAGCTGGAGGAGGTGTAGTTTTACTTTTCATTGGTGCTTCCTTAATAGGTGATGATGTAGGTGGTGGAGTGAGAGATTCAGTCTCACTCAACTTATTAATAGATTTTTCTTTTTGATTTGAAGTAGATTTTGTATTTTTCTTGTCAGATTTTACTTTTTTCGATTTCTTTTTATCTTTTATAGGCAAAGATTTTGTTGAAGTAACAATTTTTTTCTTTGCTTGTATTGTATCATTATGTATTTTGGGTGGTTTAAATTTTTTTTCATGTTTTGTTTTCTTTGATTTTTTATGAATTTTTGAAGGTATTACAATATTTGGATGATCAATATGAAGTAATGCTCGACATCGATCACGTTCATGATCATTAATAGCTACTAAATCACGAGTTTTAGTAGCATGTTGAGTTGTATTTTTCTTTTTAATTTGTTTATGAATTTTGGGTTTTTTCTTTGGTGATTTATGTTTTTTAATTTTTGTTCGTTCTTCTTTTTTAACAATTTTAGATTTAAGTAAATGACTAAAGGAACGAACTTTTTGACCAAGTTCTGTTGAAGTTTGTGGTCGAATATAAACTGTAGCACCATGTTTCTGATCGGTTCGTGTAGATTTTAATGATATTGGTGATTTTGAAGATGAAGAAATATGTTCAGATTTCTTCTCTCCAAG